GGGTGGGGAAGGCGCGGAGTCCGCCGGTCGCCCCTCCGCCCCTGGGGACGTCACGGCGGGGAGGGCAGCGCCGCGGGCAGGCCCGCCCCCGACGGTCTCCTCCCGCGCCTTCGGCGCCAGACACCGCGGCCGGAGCGCTCCCCGCTCCTCTGAGCTTTCTGGGGAGATCCCGCGTTTGCATAGGGCGCGAGGCGGAGGAGGAAAATCCCAGGACGGCCTCTCTGATCGAGCAAGAGGCGCTCAGTGTGGTGAAAACCAGTGCCTTGCCCCTGTTCTCCAGGGTCTGAGCCTGTGGGCCACAGGGACAGGGAAGTCATGTGCCTACCTACGGTTCAGTAGGCCGCGGCCCCAGCGCTCAGGGCTCCCCCGGGAAAGGAAATGTCTGCATGGAGAGCAAGAGCTCATGCGGGTTGTGTGTCTATTTGCCATGAAAGTTAGAGGACATGGCATGGATAATGTCCCCGAAAGGGGACTGAGTCGGAGTTGTGGGTGAAAGGAGAGTGACCTCTAATGACAGAGGTCAAGGAATGTATTCACATCTCAGCAAGAAAACAATTCTGCTTTTTGTTTTTTTTTTTTTTTTTTTTTGGTTTTGGTTTTTCTCCGGTACCGGGAACCGAACTCACGACCTTGCGCTTGTCAGGCAGGCGCTTTTTGCCGCTGAGCTAAATCCCCAGCCCCCAATTCTGCTTTTTGAAGGGCACATGATGGGAGGCGGGGGTGGGGGCTGTGGAATTCATGCTCTGACTGGGGACAGAGGAAGGTGACCCCTCTGGGAAAGAATGATTGAACTCCCTCTGGAAAGACACTTCTAACCAATCTCGCCCGCAATGTATGCTCCCTCTTCTAACCTCCCACAATCATTGAGTTTTACATTGGGTTCTTATAGTGTAAACAACATATTTTCAAATATATTCAAATAACACAGCAAGCCTATTATTCAGACGAGATCGGACACGTTCAGGGTGGTATGGCCATGGACAAACCTATTCAAAGCCTAAGGCACAAAATAGCAGAAGGTGAACCTAGGTTCCTCATTTTTTCATCCACACAGTGCTGTGGGGAAGCATAGGGGAAGCTTTTTTAGCTGGGCCAGGAACTTCTGCATTTTGGTCTTAGTTTGCTGTTGCTTAGGTATTCATGCTGCTTTTCATAACAGCAAAGACAACACCTAAGACTTGGAGCCACTGAAGCTCAGGGCCCTGCAGACAGGCCTGGTCTGACGCTCAACAGGGGAAGCTGCAACTGCAGAAAACAGGAACATTAGTAGGATGAGGACTGACCTTTATGGTAAGTTCATTTATAGCTCTTCTCTGAGTCCTGATCACAATATCTCACATCCCACACAATTCTCTGTAGAGAGTCTTAGTTATGGAAACAATCGAAGAGAGAATAGTTATGCTGGAAAGAAACATTGAAGTGGCATCTGATGTTCTGCTTCAAATTCTGTTTTTCTTATTTAATATCTGTGTGGTCTTTGGCAAGTTTTTGCCTCTTTAAGTCTCATTTGACTTGCAGTAATATTAATAGTTTTCTTAAGAGTTTTGTGAGGGTTGGGTAAGGCAAATATGAATGTAAATGTGCAGCTGGCTGGCATCTAATGTCATCTAAAAGGATTAATTTCCAACATTACAACATCTAGTACAATTTACACTATTGCTTTGGTCCAAATAATTAGATAGAATTTAAATTGATACCCTGACTTTAGTCCAGATTGACTTTTTTAGGGTATGCAATCAACCAATCTTGGTAGACCTCAGTAATGATCCAAATTCTTCACACCTCACACCTCCCTGTACACACACTCCTTTTTTTTTTTTTTTTTTTTTTGGTTTTTCTCTGGTACCAGGAACCGAACTCACGACCTTGCGCTTGCCAGGCAGGCGCTTTTGCCTCAGAGCTAAAGCCCCAGCCCCCTGTACACACACTCTTTACCATGATTTTGCCGCTCCACTTACTAAAGAGGTCCAGAGTGTATTTTCCTATCCTTTGTGTTTGACCATATGCTTGACTTCTTTGGCCAACAAAATGAGCCACACAGAAAAGGCCTCATGTGTTTTCGTATTTATCTTCCATCTCTGAGAGAAGCATGCCTCAGATATTTCACTAGTTTGTGAATATCCCAAGGAGGACGGCTCGTGGAAGGTAGCTGCCTAAATTGACAGATTGACAGTATGACAGAGCTGCACCAGGTATTGTAGCCTGAAGCAGAGCCCACCTGACACACAGATGTATGAGCAATCATAAGTGATGTTTTAGACCCCTTTGTCATGTAGTATTGTGACAATAGTGAATGATTACACCTGGAAATGTGTGGAGGTGTTACTAGCAGAGGGCTTGTTGCCAAGAAAGCTCACAAAGAGGTATTTTTTGAGTTGGGGGTAAAAATTACCTTGGGTCAGGGTCTGATGCTTAGTTTGACAAGCTCAACCTTAACTAATAGACTATAGGTTGGGTGTCCTTATAAAAAAGCTAGGGACCAGAAGTATTTTCTCTTAGATTTTAGAATACTTGCATATACATAAGGAGATATTTTAGGGATAGGACCCAAGTCCAAATGCAAAATTTATTTATGTTTCATATATACCTTTCACACAGAGCCTGCCTGAGGGTAATTGTATACAATATACAATATTTGACTGCATTCCTCACGTGAGGTCATACGTAAAAATTTCTGCTTGTGATCCTCATGTTTGTGCTCAGAAAGTTTTGGATTTTGGAACATTTTTTATTTCATATTTTTGGATTAGGGATGCTCAAGGTGTAATATATATATGCACACTGCGAGATATAATCACCAGATAAACTGATATTTGTGTTGGCCTGTTGGAAACATACTCTTCTTTGGACAGGAAAAAATTTCTCAGCAGGCATGGAATCACAACAAAAGGAATTGTTTATGAGGAACTGGAGAAAATTTAGGCTTTGCTAACCTGTTCATCTTTACAATAAAGATCTGTTTGATAAATATATCAACTTGACAGGATACCTTTTATTCCTGATAGTGTTAGGCTGGGCTTGCCAGTTTATAACTTTTAAAATGTTACTTTTCTAGGTCTGATTGTCTTCCTTTTGTTCCAAATACTTTTCTGCAAATAATAATGTGCTAGAATCCTATAGCTGACCCATTCTCTATTTCTTTTGCTGATAGTGTCCTTACATTTTGAGTAGGCAGATCCATTTTCACCCCATCTAGAGATTTTTTTCCAGCTTCCTTTGCAGCTGGCAAGGCCTTGTGATCAGGGTCTGACCAACAGGTCACACCCTCCTCTGTTGGCAATGTGGATTACAGCTGCGTCTTATGGAGGTGAGGTTATGCCCAGGAGTCTCAGTGAAGGAGGACAGTAAAGTGAATGGAGGTTCTCAAGTAGAACTTCAAACACGGAAGAGCAACATGTAAGTAGTAGGTGTGTCACTGTTAGTGGGTGTGCCGCTGGACAGAGTGGATGGGACGAATACTTAACCTTCTTTTTCCCAGTATGTACCAGTGGGACTAACCCTTGAAAGTGAGGCATTTGGGCAATGGAATTACATACCTGTGTGTAAAATGTAGGCATAGTAGGCCATTTATTTCTGATCACAGACATGTTCTAAAAATGGGATAAACTAAATTTTGGGAGAAGACTTTTTTCTTTAACCAAGAAGACTATGTTTTTAAGACTTCTCTTTCATCCCTATTTTCTTATTATTTTTACTGATAATGTACAAGTTGGCAGCATATAAAACCTCTGATTCTGTTTATGTGATATTCATAATATTAATAGAATATAAAAATTCTGGAAATACCCTTCAGATAAAACAGTGGAAGTTTGAGAATGTAAAAGTTGAGGGAAATGATTATGGTGTGATGCCAAGCATAGCAGGAGGACACAGCAAAGAAAACAGACACATCTTCAAAAATTAATTAAGCCCATAAAAGTCTGCATAGGTAACCTTTATTTCTTAATCTATTTTAAACCATGTGTTCAAAAACTGGTAAGATTCCTAAAAACCTGCAAATCTTTAACTTCTTTTCTCTAATTTTGATCCTGATGTAAGCCAAAGGTGTATTAAGCCATCTTCTACTGTGAGTCAGTCAGATCAGTCCAAGGCTTTGACTTCTTCCTGGTCCTTACTATCTGTCTCTGGTACCACTGGCCTGTTGGTAATAATATGAATCAGTTCCTATAGACCGTAATTGGGAACACAATGTGGCATTAAAAAAAAACTAAAAGAAATTCCACAACAAGAATTCACTGTTTTGCATAAGCATTAGGTTTTATAACCAAATACAAAATCATACGTGAGAGGAATGGTCATGCTGCTGCAAAATGTGATTTCAAGAGCATGGGAGAACACCTCGTACCCTGAATATTTTGCTTGTCCAAGAATGCAACTTCTGGGATTTATTTCATCATTGGTAATTGATTCTTTGGATTACTCATTGTTCTGTCTACTCTGAAAACATTTCTTAGTAGATAATAAATATATTGATGTTCAAATGCTACATGAATATTCTTTCCAGTTCTTTCTGATACAAGGAGACACAGATAATCCTAAGAAGATCTGCTGAAGAAGGGAGATGGAAAACTGCATCTGTGTGTGTTGGGGAGTTTGGGGCTGAGAGGAGAAGACGGAGAAAGAAGAGGGCAAAGTTAAAGTCTTTTACAATTGTGTCTGAAATATTTACAAATTTAAAATGTTTATACATTAATGTATGATATGAAACACAAATTTTTAAATTACCTAATGTGGAATTACATGATATTCCTGCACTAAAATTTTTTAAACAATTATTTTCTGAATTCCAACATGTAGGCAGTGAGCCAGGCACTTTGGAAAGTGGCCCAATTTCTCACTGGGTATAGGAGGACACATTGTAGTTATAAACAAGACAGAAAAATGTGAAATGTTAAATCATTTGAGATAATAAGAATTAAATAATTATAAAATATTATGATTGAGAGTAATACATGATTGATTACCAAAAGTATGGTACAGAAGGTAGCTACAGGAAGTTCAGAGGCAAAAGGTGTTACTGTGAGCCGGGCATGATGGCGCACACCTCTAATCTCAGCACTTGAAAGGCTGAGGCAGGAGGATGGTTGTGAGTTTGAGGCCAGCCTGGGCTACAAAGTGAGCTCAAGGGCAGCCCGAATTGCATACTGAGACCCTTCCTCAGGAAAAAAAAAAAAAAAAGAAAGATATTACTGTAAAATAGAATGAAATTCAGGTGACAGGGTAGAGGACAGGATGAATATATTACAAAATGAATTAAATAACTAAATATTTAAACTAAGAGAGCTATCTGCTTAAACCATAAAATAATGTTTTATTCTTAGGTGGACCAACATGGGTAGTAGCAGGAATATTTTGTAAATACACATACAGAAATCTAAGACACCCAAACATAGCTGTTTCAAACTATTCAAGTATCAGTCTTGATTCTTTGGGTCAGGTAAATAAATCATTTGATTGGGCTAGTTTCGTTCCACCCTTAGAAACCAAGGCAAATCAGCTGGCTAAAAAACAGAAGATAAATTGCTCAACAGCATGTAGAGAAAATAGCTAGGTGATTAAATGATTTCTTTTAATTTTTAAGTTTTAAAAATTGGCAAAGGCATATTCATTCTTCTTTAAAGTGACTACTTTGATAATAGTCAAGGGAGTCAGCTCCATTAACAGTGAAATCAGAATCAAAATTCTACTATTTTCCAACTGCCCTTCCTGAATTTAGTATGAAATGTCAGATTAATGTTGAGTTAACCACGTTGGTTTTTAAACATAATACAAAAATGGAGAGTTTTGTAAAAATTAGATATGTTTTAATAATTAAGTGGTGATAGCTAATTTCTTTCAAACTCTTCCAGACTGTGTTTCTGGCCCGGTACTAATATTCCAGGGGGAAGGCCATTAATTCACTAGTGAGAGGCTGGATCCTTTTGCTACATGAGCTTAGTGATATGTTGCTGGTAGGATCAGAATTATCATCTGTAAAGACCTGTTGACATGCTAAATAAAGATGGTGGGACGAAGTGGGCAGGGGAGGATGGATGTCTGAGGGCTTAGGGCAAGTGAGTACAATAACCTGGATGATAAGGGAGGGACAGAGAATGTGTATCTGGTCTCCAGTTTGCACCAACCTTTGCTTGCATATTTCAGTTATACAAGTGGGTACACAGGCTTTAATATCTATGAGAAGGGAGTAGCTTATTCAAAGTAAAAAACAAAACTAAAGAACCCTCCCTGCAAACACTAATATGGTGGGATGAATTTTTAGGAGATCTGACAGTAGAGGACAAAGAAAAAAGTAGTGCTTCTTTAGACTACAAAACAAAACAAAAAACTAGGAGAATATTCTTGACAGAACTAAACTTACGTTTTGTTGTGTACTTTGTCTTTAACTTTATAAGGACGGGAAATCAATTCTTTCTAAAAAATCAGAAAGGAAAACTTTTACTTTTTGTGGCAATCAAAATTTACTCACTTGAAAAAAATCTAAGGTAAAATCATCGCAGAGTTTGTAAGGATTAAATTCTTAAATATGGAAACAATTGGATCAGAAATCTCTCAGATTAATGAATTTAAGGTTCATTCAGAAATGAACCCATACATTTATACCGTGCTATTATTATTTTTATACAGTTTGTCTATCATCATTTAGCATTTATTTTTATATGATCTGGGAAAAGAGGAATCATTATAAAACAAATGCTGGCATTGAAGAAGTCTTTATTAATATCATACAGCATTATAATATGTAAACAAAAAACTCTTATTGATTACAACACCCTCTCCAGATGTAGAAGGCTCTAGTGTAGGCTATGAGTAGCTACATTTAAGGAGTTGATCTAGGAAACCTCAGAAAACTTGCCACAGATTCTCCTTCCAGATAGGGATACTCAAATGCCCCACTATTAGTCTTACCGAGATCCTTTCTTCTCTTTGTTTTCTTAAGAGTTGGAGAATCTCATCTCTCTTTTTAGCCTATTTAAAGGGAAAAAATGTGGGTGAGACTTGATGCAATAATAATTGCTATGCCTCTGGTATGTACAATTCTTCCATTTTCTTCTGGTACTGGCAGAACTTTAACATATTTTTTCCACAATAGATTTATGCATTATCATTTGTAGCACAATCTTGTTTTTATTCCAGAGGAGGCAACTTTAAAAAATGATTGAGTTTTGATCCTAAATGGAGAGCATTTTCGCCTCCATAATAACTCTTATTAGGGCCTTAGCACATGAACTAAGAGTTTTATGGATATTATGTCATTACTAACAACTTAGAAGTGTGACATTACTATGATTTCATTTTATAGGTGAAGTGGAGTCAAATTAAATAACTACCTCAAACTATTAAATGGCAGAGTGGGTCAATTCCAGCCCTGTTAAGTCCAAGCTATTGACCATCAAGCTAAATTGCTACAAGATGTAGGATCAGGGGGTTGGGGATTTAGCTCAGCGGCACAGCACCTGCCTGGCAAGCACAAGGTCATGAGTTCGATTTTCGGTACTGGAAAAAAAAATCAAAGCAAAAAAAAAAAAAAAAAAAGTGGGATCAAGTTAGCGCACCACTACCTAAGTCCATGGTAAACAGGGCTGGCTGTAGTTGCTTGCATATGGGAATAGAACCCTATTCTCAGATCTCTCATTTCTCTATCTTATCAAGACATACAAATCCTCAGCTAAGTTTTCTAAAGCATAAAAACTCTGTTCTCACAGAATATTTTATATTCTAATAGAAAATGTGTGCTATAGGGCTAGTCAGCAGGGGGAGTTAATCCAGCTTGGGGTCACTTTGATGATCAAAATTAATTTATTTGATGATATCACACAGCACTTTGCGAAAAGTGGTTACATGATAAATAATAGTTGTGTTATAGAGGTACTTACAGACTGAGGCACTTTCTAAGATCTTTATTTAATGTGAACTAAGATTTTTGATTATAAATTAATCATAAAACAGGTATTACATTCCAAATTGAAGCAGAACCAAAGTTCTGTGGCTTAACAGAACTTGAGAATATCATGATTTTCATTTTCTTGGAGTTTCAGAATTTATTTTAAATTCTATGCCGATTGTTAGGAGTCAGTTTTCCTACAGAGTCAACAAGGAATTTCAGTTCCTATTTTAAATAGAATATTAATGCTCAAAAGGTTTCATTTCCCTTGTATGTTACGAATGCAGTCTCCAGGATGTCGAGAAATATGATTAGCTTAAGGAAAAACTATCACTAAAAGTCTCGTATCTGAGCTTGATTTCAAAAGGCAGTATCCACCTCTCATTGATTTTGATAACAAAATGTTTCAACTATGAGTTTTATTCTGTAAATGTATGACTATTCTCTGTATCTGCTAACTAAAACTTGGTGTATAGATTTGATGACTGCCTTTTAGTAAATTTATATCTACTATAGTAATAAGAAATTGAACATTTGGACTTCAAAAGATCTACTATACACTTTAAAAGACAGACTGAGTAATCAGTGGAAAGGCTTTCTCTGGCACTAACGTGATTTTAGTAGGCAGTCTATGGGATGGAAGATGACATAGGATTATTTATACAAGGGGGGAAGAATGCTGACTTGCAAGAAAAAGATGCAGATCTAAGCACTTTTCCATACCTCTTGGAAACTGCTGGACCCTGGCTCAGGTCCCAGATCTGACATATACAATTTTCATCTAAAAAATAACAGTTTACTAAATGAGAAAGAAATATTAGTCATTACATAGCTGGGAGTCAGTATCATTTTTTCTTAAATGTAGATTTCAATAAAGTATGAATTTATCTGTTATGAGGAAAATTGTGTCTTGGGGGTTCTATTGCATATATTTTCCTATTTATGTTCCATAATTTTAGTAGACGTATATAGCTCTTGTTTCTGAAACATTCATACACATACACACTCCCACAAATGCATGCAAGGCAAATATAGAAGTGATCTGTCTTCAGTACTGGGATTGAACTTCAGGCTTGCTCTTTCTAGGCAAGTGATCTACCACTGAGCTATATCCCCAGACCTGTTTAAGTGATTTAAAAAAAAAAAAAACTGTTTAACATTGCTTTAAAGGGTACTTAAAAAAAGAACAAGTGAAATTTGAATTTTAATGTTTAGAAAAATATGAGTAAAATAAAGATTGTATTTTTAAATTTGATAAAGCACACATATACTAGCGATACTTCTCATTATATGATTAAATTATATGCTATGGAAAATTCAGTCTGTGATAAAAATCAAAGCTTGTCCTTAGCAAACAAAAGACTACTGAGACTAACATTTTCATCAAGTTAGTGGTTACATCAATATGATGAATGGCTGAATGGGACTGACCTCATCTTTCAGATATGTCTTTCTGGTCCTGCTCTAAGGATTTAAAAAGGAGGAGGGTAGAGAGATCCCCACATAGATGACTATGGAATTTCCTCTCTAGCCCTAACTTCTCTTTCTAGCCCAGATAGTCACATGTGTGTTAGATAACTTCACATGCTTATCTCAGAGGTGCCTCAAACTTCATAAATCTAAATTGAATTTTTAATCCCCCCTCCCCCAAAAATCTCAACACTTGACCTTCATCTCATCGTATTCCTTATTTTGGAGAATGGCACCATCTAGCCTGTTGTGAAGCCAAAATAGCTAGGCCTTATCTTTGATTTCTTGCTATGCCTTACCTTCCATTTCCAATATATAACCTGAATCCGAGCTATTTCACTTCCTAAATATCTCTCAAATTTACCTACCTTTTCCTATGCTACGGTCACCATCCTAATCCAAGCTACCATCACCTCCCTCTTGGATGATTGCAGTGGTCTCTCCAATGTGATTTCTCCACTTATGGACACGTTCAGTCCATTTTCCATATGAAAGTTTCTGATCTCTTTCAAGCAGATCTGATATTATCATCTCCCCAATATAAAAACATTTCAATGGTGTCCTAATAATGGCCTAATTTTCCTACTGAATTTTCATATTGGCCACTTAGCTTCTGAGGTGCATCACGTCTTTTCTAGCACAGGGACTTTGCACATTCTATTCTTGCTGCTTGTGGTACTCTCTTAATGCACCCTCCAACTTCTAGCCTAGTTAATGTCTACCCTTCCTTCCAACTGCCTTAGCTTAAAGAATCCTCCCTAGTTCCCTTGACTGAATCAATGCCACCTTATTAGTATTACCCTAACATCATGTACTATTTTTCATAAATAGTTCTCTTCTGGCTAGAAAGCAAGTTTCATATAAGGGCAAATTTTATATCTTTAAAATGTATTTTTCATTGTTCATCCTTGTACTTCGGTGCCTAGTACAATGCCTAGCACAATGCAGAAAGAAGTACTATAGAAATGTCTGAATCAATTTTGCTCAATTCTTCCAAATCAGATTTTCTTAACTTTCGGTTCCATGATTCACCTTACTATTTGTGGGTCTGTGTGGCCCTTTTTGCTTGAATTTGACATTGCATCTTAGGCTTTATCTCTAACATGCTTACATCTCTTGTTAAGCCTACAGAGTTTTCAGTTGCTTCTGGGCAATGTCCTGGAAAGTTCAGCTTAGCCCACAATCCAACATTGGCATGGAAAGGTCCCGAAGTCCTGCAGTGAAACCTAGACAATGTCCAATTCAACACATACAGACTGATGTCTCTACTCCCACCAACATCTACTTTATCTACTAGGAATATTTATGATAAAAACCCAGGGATGCCAAGATAATATGCACAACAGTGCAACTACAGTTAGTAACTTTTTCCTTGGTGGTTCTATTCCATGCTACACAAATTTATCCTTCAAAAGAAAATTTTCAAGTTTAGAGTAAATAACACCTGTATTTTTTCCTAATTACTGAACTGCCATTGTAGTGGTATCCTTTCTCATAAAAGTTGTTAAATAGGGTTTAGGTCAACAATAGGATCCATTGTTTGTAAATTGATTTTTGAACACTATTTTTTTGGCCTGGTTAAAACATAAAACTAACCACAGGTAGTCCCTTTGTCTGCCACATAAACAAGTTTTCTGGGTATGGCAGTAAGGAATGACATGGATGTTTAGCAATGTGACTGGAGCTTGGGAGAATATTCTAGGGCTCTTCCTTTCCTCCTTCCTCCCTTTCTCCCTTCCATGCCTTCTTCTGTATCAGAGTTCCAGTCTGTAGAACAGTGTCTTATTCCCTCTGCCCAATTCTTACTCTCAATTCCTTGTCTAGTATTCTAGCTACTGTAGGTCAACAGTCCTGCTTTATTTCCCACTCTTGACCCTATGTTTTCCATGGGAAAATTTTTCTTCCTGCTGTTAAACTCCAGCACCATGCTCTTAGCTGCTACTCTCTCTTTCTGGGGTCTTTTCCTTCAGAGACTATACAGTGCTCTGTTCATCTACAGTGACTTTTCAGTTACCTATGGAATACAGCATACTACCTTTCTTGTCTGTTGCTCCTGTATCCTTTTGCACAACTGACTACATGTCTGTTTAGCAACGATGCCCTCTGGCCCTTCATCAGTCCTATTCTGGCCTATACTTTTGTGAGTACCTCACAGTACGTCTAGCTCGAGGAACTGGACTGTCATGTAGACTCTTGCTCCAAAAAAGTTACATTATCCACTTATTTCATTCATAAGTGTTTATTTGGTAGGTTAGGAGATCACCTGCTGTTTGCTAGGTCTTGTGATTATAAGTAAAAAAAAAAAAAAAAAAAAAAAAGACCTGGTCCTTCTTAAGGAACTTAGAACCTACAGGAGAAATATATTTACTACATCACCATGTTATATATCAGGACTGGGGAAAGAGGAATATTCACAGAATCATAGGGGGGACAAAGAAAGGGGGGTTTGTACCAGGTTCGGCAATGTGTGAAGATGGGAAGGCTTAAATGGAACTGCTGAACTGCTTTGAAGTAGAAGTACCAGTACAAGGAGGTGCTGGTTAAATAGAAAGAAGAAGGAAAAAGGCATTTCTAGGTGGAAGAAACTGTAGGTACAAGTTCACAGCTATGAAAA